AAGTTCACAGACAACAATATTAGCTACACCAATACGGCAATTTAGTAAGTTTTGAACATGAAATTTAATAAAATGTTTAGCTTTTGTGGACTAAAGCAACATCAAGATACATACAAGAAACACAAATAATACCATATTAGTACCTAGATGCTCCCTAAAAGATTAGTGAGTAAAGAAGAACGAGCAGGTTAAATGAATAGTTAAAATGGAGAAACGTGTTGTTTAAATCTATAAATTATGACATCGAGAAAGTTGGTTCTCAAAACATCCATAATGAGAGAATGTTACGTGGATGTTTAGAAACGCACAAAAATTATTTTTGATCTAAAGCTATTTTCGTGTAACCTCTTGTGTTTCATTCGTGTATAATTGTGAATTAATTACTAATTAAAAATTTAAAATACAGTATATTGACGTTTCAGCTTCTAAATTGAAGCCTTAAGCAAAATAAAATTTTAAAATTTATGTTTTGACAACAGCTTTCAATTTGGTTGATTTTTTTTTTTAATTCTGATTAATTTTCTACCATCGAGGTCTTACCCAAAAGTATCCGACCTTTGTTCATAAATTTGCAATGATTTATTCTCCTTCATCTAATTCGTTGCAACGTGACCTCCGTGAACCTCTCATCCGTGCTTTAAGCCAATAAAGCAGTTTTAAAATGATGGCTTTCAGTGCCATCGTACAATTTGTTTGAATCGTTTTAATGTCTTTGAAACGTTGCCCTTTAACCGGCATTTTTAGTTTTTGAAATACCAAAAAGGCACGGGTTACTATGCCTGGACTGTGCGGAGACTGGCTTATAACTTTGTGTTTTGTTCTGTTGCACAGGGTTTGATAAATGTGCTAGAGCATTATCGCGATAAAGAAAGCAGTTGCTGCTAGTACAATAATGGGCTCGTTTGTTTACAATCAAGCAATCCTTTTAGAATTTAACGATAAGTTATTTGGTAATTAGTGGGCGAGAATATTAATCGGAAATCTAATTCAGGATTAGGTCCAAATTTGTGTTTTCTAAACGTTGCGAAACAAAACAGACGACGAATGCACCGAAATGCACTGGCATTTCGCTAATTTAGCGGTTAACCGAAAAGCTAACTTTCACGGAATACATGTCAGTCACATCAGAAACCGCAAAGAACACTGAAAGGAAAGTATCTTCAATATGTTCTTACTGTCATCAATGTAAACCTCGACCGTGCACATCCATGTATCTTCGGTATGTTCATACCCTAATGGCACGTCCAAGGTGCGCCGAGTCTGTATGCAAATAATTCTTCGTATTTAGGCAGGGCTGACCAAAATGCACCAGCGCGCTGAACAACCTTTGCGCTGGTAGTCTGACTGACGTTTAATGGAATAAACCTTCCATTCTGGTTTCAGGCATCTGACGCCGATTCATTTTGAAATATTCGAAAAATCAGTTTTCGTCGGCAAGTAATTGCGGAAAAAGCTATTTAGACTCTCTATTAATTGGATGTGTTTCCCTTTTGATTGGTTTTAACTTTGTTAAAACATTGTCACTAAGGCAGCAAAAGATCTGCAGCCTGTTTTCTTGTAAGTTCCAGACTACACTGATCAGTCAACGCTCTACACTGCCGACATGAAAAATCAGCGTTCATAATGGCCTTATCCCACCCGCCGCTCGGAGTCGCACAATCGTCTCGAGAATGTGAATCGGACTAGCATGTTTTACCACTCTTATAAGACGTGCGGACATATTGAACCTTTCTTTTATCTACGTTTTACTCACATATTCACCTCCAAAGCAATTTTGCATCAGACTAGTGAAAATAGTTTGCGCTCAACTTTTTTCGAGTTCAAAGCAAAACTTAATGCAAATTGGTTGTTCGGATTTCTTCGCCATTTTCAGCAACAACAAAATGTATCGAACGAAAAAAAGACAATGTAAATAAAAGTCTCCTGTTACGAATTAAACACTTACTGTTATTAATTACGGTATACGTCGTGAAGTTCATGAAGAGTTACTGATTATTCTCATTGCCCACAGAGGGCTTTAAAACCTTTTGACTGGAATAGCGGATACTTTTGGGACAGACCGGGTATACCATGAGTTGCACTCATACAGTCCTCGAAGACATACCGTCTCAGGACTAGCAACTTCAACGTGGAGTCATATGTCGCCATGTTACCTAATCCATCGATAACTCTATAATCCTAAATCATTATAACATTATTTTAAAACTAAATGTAATTAAACATCTGTTATCGGGTTTTTACCCACATATTTAATCTTGGTGGCTACATTCATGTACTCCTAGACACTGATGATGGAACATGGTTTCCGAAAACGTTTTGTCTTTTTAACTTAGCCCGTTTGGGCCTAAAATATACCTATTACAAAGGATTTTTAATTAAATTTTTTAATTAAAAATTAATTAAAAAAATTAATTGGTTCGATATACTTGCTAACGTAAAAGTAGCAAGAAAAAATTAACTGAAATCAACTTTTAACCTTTGTAAAAAAGATGAAAAACTAAAAGACGCATCTCCCTGATATATTTAAGGATGGATATTGGATACTTCATTTTCACCTTACTTTATACATTTTTATATTGCTGCATTTCATTAATTTTAAAAATTACTTATTTTTTATTGCGTAAATCATCGCAATTATTTTTCCACTAAATCTTTTATAATTTTTCCGCTATCCCCGATTTAGCATATATGAACAAATTATTTTCTAATATTTATCCATAGCTAAATTTTGTATCAAAATTTAGCTCTACACATTCTATATAAATCATGAACGTCATAAATTAGCAGAAAGAAGCTTGCTATTTGTTAAATTTCATTGTGACGTATATCTCTCTGAAGTCACTAAGAATAACACAATATACAATATATATTTCCCGTTGTAGTGCTAGATTTTCTAGACTTAGCCTTTAATGTATGATTGCTCATGATTTAGTAGTATTAGATTATTTGCAAAGTAGAAGACATATTCTTTTTATTTTGAATGTCAGAAAAGAGATATGTTCGTTTACCGCAATGTCACTGTTCTCGACCATCCTAGGATGTCATAAAACGTTTCAATGGCGTTTCAATCAGGCGCAGTAAATAAATGTCCGAGAAGGTGTCTTTTCCGATAAACAAGTACATCCAAAGTGAAGAAAACATGTGTAGTCCTCATTATTTATAGCCGTAGATAAATTTTATATAATTAAAATTCTATTCTCTATATTTTTTAGTCTTTATTTCTATAGCCTCCATGTTTTGATATTGGGCAGGCTAGTTGTTATTCTTATATATTTTATATCATAATTCATTTATTTGACTACATTCCCTAGTATATTCTATTTATTTTACTGACGTGACTAGATATGCTTTATTACTAGCTCAATTCAAATCTGGTGAATGAAATAGAGTACCTTAAGGTAATATTAGACTCGAGGCTTACTTGGACTCAGCAAGTAGAACGAAGAGAGTTTTGACTACTTTAAAGGTAGTCATCCATGGAAAAATTTAGCGTTTAAAACCAGACATATTGTATTTATAACATGGTGGTAAAACCAATAATAACATACACCTCAGTGGTATGGTGGTCAACAATGCAGCAAAAAGTTCCACTTTCAAAATAAGCAAGATGCAAAGTCTTAATTATCTTGGAAGTATAGAGACTGTGTGGGGCACATCATTATAAGGGAAGGCGATAATAGAATATTATACAGCAAGAAAAACCTGAGAATATTGGTTAGATCAGGGCATAGTAACATTAGAAATGGAATTAGAGGTATAATATGGATGGTGACTTCTGACCATGTGGTACCCAGATACTTTCCAGGTGGATATCTGTCCACAAAAAGGATGTGGCAGAGAAAGTACACAATCTAATCTGCAGGATTACACCTAATACACAGATAAGTAAGGTCTGCTACAGAACAGTAGGTATAAGAATCTACAGTAGTGGTGGAAATAAAAACATTTACATTTGACTAGATGAATATACTTATTTATGCAATCTTACATTATGCAATTACACCAAAAAGAGAAATGAACAAGAAGGTTTTTGAACTTAAGCGGCTCAATATATATATATATATATATATATATATATATACACAGATCGTCAAGCGGCTATCGGATCGTTGTGGGAATGTCGATAAAAAATCAATAGACTAGCAGAATATAACAGTGTCATACTAGTATAAGTACCAGATCATCTAAGAATACATGACCGACATGCGCTAGTAGGGCTGAAGTACTGCGGATAAAAAGCAAGTTCAGTTCAGAATCTTGAACTGATCTTGCTCAGAGAACCTAAAACAGTCATATATTTTTGCATAGTTTTTAGAGACTACCAGGTAACTACAAAAATATATTGTACCCATCCATTAGACCTGGTCCAGACTGGTCCAGGGTTGCAGCATTGGGTAATTGGTATCATGAAAGATTAGAAGATCTACAATTAGCCAATTTGGCTGCAGTACGACCGGTTTATAATAGACGACTTCTAAAAAAACAGACTGATTACCATTCTTTAAATTAAATTATAAATTTACATTTTGTGAAGCAAATACATAACAGACATTATTTTCTCTTAACAATATTTTTAATTTATTTTGTACACTTCATTGAATTACTTTTTTTACAGTCTTCTTTGTCTATCCTTTAAATAATATTGTATATTGCCCGCAATTACATTGCTGTAAAGTTAATAAGTATATCATTATTTTGCTATTTTAATTTATCCTAAAACATATTATGTGCAAATAACTTGTAGTTAATACTTCCACAAATGCTACATCAATAGCCTAAACATTTTCAAACTTACACGCTAAAAGTCGGTTCATTAATATTCCAACAGAAACTTTTACTTAACAGTTATTTCATACTATTTATGCTTACCATAAACTACACTGAAACTGAATTCCATATCTTCTTGATTATTGCTACTTTATTTGCTACCTACACCTGAAAATATAGTTCATTGGTATTTGGTTAACAAATTATATTAATTTTAACGTTTGTTTCTTTAGGAGATGAATTGGATATCACAGCTTTGGCCCACAATGCTGCGTCCCAAGCCGAACATGTTGTCAGAAAGATGATCCAGGCTGGATGGTCCGTTTGTCATTTTAGGAACCTACCGGCTTGGTTACAAGATAATGATTTTCTTATATTCGGTCATCGGCCACCACTACCTAGTTTCCGGGCTTGTTTCAAAAGCATTTTTAGACTTCATACAGAAACGGCCAATATCTGGACACACTTGCTGGGATGTGTGGCGTTTATAGGTAGGTTAATTCGTTTCATTTGTAACCTATTTTTATTCTAAATTACCGCTTTTTTTTTTCATTTGCACTGTGCTTGGACATTGGCACTGTGCTTTGACATTTGCCAGCTCTTAAGATCGTTTTAAACTTTGCTATCATCTCCGTCAAACCTTAAATTAAATTTAAGCAGTTAAATTGCTTTTAAAGAGACCCTAATCATCATCATTGGTGATACAGCCCTATAGTAGTGTCTCAACCTTCCAAGTATATTGCGCCAGTCAGCCCTAACCATTGTCAACCGTTGCTGTTTGCCAGTTTGCTGCAGCTATTTTTCTAGCAGTAGTTTTTGCCTACCTCTTCTAGTTTCCACTGACTGTGACTAGAATGTAGATGTAGACCAGAAGCGAATGCAGATGCTGAAAAATTATTATTAACATTTACTTGTTCACGACATTAGTTGGAATAAACAACTGTTAATGCTAATTTTTATGATATTTTGTGAATAACGCAATTTGTAGATATTCCATTCTTCTCGGACTGGAAAATAAATTTCATAGGTACAAAATCTCCTTCTCCGATATTATTATTTAACTTATTGGACTCCTGGAATTTTCAGATTACTGGATTGTATAGAAAAATTTTCACATTTGTCATTAGGGCCAACGAGTTCCATTATCGAACCAGATGTTAACTTTTTTTGGGTTCTCGGAATTTAAAATATTGCAATACATATCGCTTATCTTGCAGGTGTCTCTCTTATAATTAATTGATTTTTTATTTTTGTTTATATGGCACATTTCCAGAAATAATCTTTTTTATAGTTGTTTTCTATATCCAAAACCTTGACATCTGATAAATTAAATGTGTGGAATGTTGTGTTGCAATGTTGTGCCACTGCACAATCACTTTTGTGATATGATTCTTTGTTTTAACCACTGCGATGTTTGCCCTTTATACTGCTCACATATTCGAGACAAGAAAGTTGGTAAATAAGATGATTTTGATTTAGAAGCAGTGTCTGGTCTTAAGCTTCGGGAATAAGCTATAATTGTATATTCTGTTATAATTAGCTATTTTGATTTTAGGAGTTCCACTCGGTAGCTTAATATTATATTGTTATTTAAGCCATTTAAGTAGGGTAACTTTTTGTCAATAACGGGCTCTGGCAGTCTGTTATCATATTGCCCGGCATATAAGTCTGAGTTTTAGATTAGTTGCTTGAGAAATTACTGGGATAGCCGTTAGTCAACAATATGTTGTATAATGTTTTTAAATTCTTTTGTATGAAAATATCGTTGCTAATATCCAAAATTCTGTTCTTCATCGCAACAACAGTGTTAGGTTTTACCTTTTTTGATGGGTATAGACGTGTTTCTATACAGAGTCGCCATCATTATCTCCTTCCATGCATCTTCATCTAAATTGCTGTCTCTAATTGCTTCTCTAATCTTCTGTCATCCTCTGTACATGACCGTACGATATAAGTTGTGTTGTCCTAATACGGTCTAAAATTGTGCAACGTTTTTTTATAATTCACATTTAACTAATTACATATTTAACATAGTTTAACATAATCTTTAATTGAGGTGTGTTTTCGTGCAACTTGTAGTCCTTGTTTAAAAATCTTCTTTTGCATGTTTTGAATACCACCCTGAGAAATAATATGGACGAGCAATTTATTTTTATACAAGGAATTTACTTTTTGGATAACATTTTGACCTATCGGTTGCAATAAAAGTGTGCAGTTTGGTGGTAGGAATAGGGTTTCGTTATTCTTATCACTTGATCAAAGTCCTTGTTCATTTGGGTGGCCTGGAGCATTATCAAGTAAGAGTAAAGCTTTTATGGTTAAGTTGGATCTTTTCATAAACTTCTTCACTTCTGAGACAAAGTAATTATAGAACCATTATCTAAATACCTCCCTTGTGACCCAACTCGGATTTTGTAGCAGATTGGCAGACAAATGTTGAAAGCACTGAGATTTTGCTAACAAATGTCCAAATCGCTAACAAATCTAATTTGTGTGTTCCAGTAATATTTGAAAACGGCAGAAATATGGTTATATCTTTACTCACTTTACGACCTGGTGTGCCAGCTTTTTTAGAGGATACTAATGTTTTATTGAGCAACAGTCTCTAAAACAGACCACTCTCGTCTGCATTATAGATTTAATGTTAAGAAGACCCAGTTCTTCTAGTTTGTCTTTAAACTACCGGATAAATTGCAGATTCACTGCTTGACAATTTTTCACCCGATGTAGTTAACAGACGGATAGCAAATCGGTTTTTATCCAGCCACCCAATACTGGCACTAAAATCATCCTTTGTAATTTTTTTTATAAATTTGATTGCTCTTGCTTTCAGAATTTCTCCAGGTGCAGAAATGTGTTTCTCTTGCATAAACAATATGCAGAGATGTTTTCCATCTTTGGACTTTCATCAACTATTAATGTTTTACGCTTTCCTGGTCTAGGTTCCATGGTCTTCACGTGTTCCACTATCTTTTGTTGATTTTTTTTTTTTAAAGATCATGTATAGTAGCACACTCAACTACATATATTTTGTTAATTCACAAATGTTTTCTCCACTATCTAACTTCTTTAAAATGACATAGGCAGATGGTGCCGGATTATTGGACGTGTCGGTTTATTGAAGTGTCACATTAGTGAGATTCTACTGTATCCATGTGATCCTTTTTCATCGTTCCGTGTTTTATTGAGTATGTAGTATCTACAGCACATCAACCGACCGCTCGATTTTTTATCAATTTTACCTCAGTTTGTTCGATTCCGAACGACAATTAGTTCAGGAAAAATTATTGTATCAGATATAGAAAAACTAATGACATTAGTATTCGGATATTTAGGAGAAAAGTATAAAACCGGAAGTTTTAACTTCACCTACTGCATTCTTACGTATAAGAATGTGCACATATTTGAGGTAAAAAAGGTGATTTTGTAATCCCCTAGTTGAAGTCTATACCATGAGAATATTAAAAGCAAATAAACAGTTAAGGATTACAATTATAATTTTGCTGTTAAATTTAGCTGATAAAATCAAAATGAATATCGAGTATCCTCTTTACATTTGTGAATAAAATATATAATCAATAACAATACACCATTATGGAAAATTATAATAAATAAACTATCTTTTACCCTACAATGATTACCTAATTTTTAATTTTTTATGACTGAGAATAAAGATAGTGGTTTATTACCATTAAAAATGACGGTTTTAGATTTTTGTTACGATAAAAAACTTTTGTTATATATTGTTCGCCTTAAAAGACCCAATAAACGACGGCAGTTTAGTTTTAAGCTCAAATCTGTCTAACATCTGTCCCATTTAAATTTAATATGATGTTTAACGTATACAAGGAGATCACTAGAGTAAAATTCTTCAATCAATACTATATGGGTGCTTTAGTGGATTTTTAGCTATTGAATCCGCAGTACTATTAGCCAATATTTCTGAATGTCCTTTAACATGTCAACTTAACACTCGAAAAAACACATTTACAGACAGTCAGATGAAAATCGTACAAACTCCGATGTTTACTGGCACTGCAGTCGATTTAGGACAAATTCATCGAGTTAGAATGTATGGAGAAGCTATGAGCATATTAACGTATGTATTAAAAACGGCCTAGGTAGGTGTGGCTAACGATAATACCAATATGGCGGTGACATCAGGGCCAGACTCAATAATATTAAAACTACTATACAAATATGACTAGTTATTCAGAAGATTTAATCATAATCTAAAAAAAGTGCAATACATTTTTAATAAACTAGGATTTATTTATCCCGCGGTAAACACTAAGAACACGATATATTATACATAAAGATAAATTAATACAGTCAAATACTATTAATTTATACTCTGAAGTACGGGCCATTACTTTGCTTACATATTTGTATACTAACCTGTGGAACGATATTCCTGAACTATCACAATATATTACAGTTTCTAGAAAAGTATTATAAAACTGAAAATATTCTAAAAACAATAAATGTAAACAAACATATACGATCTGTCAAAAGTTTCAAAACAATATTAACAATATGGCCGAAGTGAGGTCGTTTTTAGTCACGTGATGCCCTCTCCATAGATTCTAACTCGATGGACAAATTTAACGAAAAATAAAATAATTTGAATGTATTATTTTAAAACACTGGCTGTGAAAGCTTGCAGTTCTTCCTTAATAGGCCTAAATGTGGAGGGTCCAAGAACGAATGACGAATTGGACCTAGGTGCCAAACAAAATTAACATCAACGTCTATAATAATAATAGATAATTTGAATTAGCGGGATAGTTACAAGATTGTTACGTAAATTAAAGTGTGTGTCTTAAGGACACAATGCGATACCAACATGTAAACAACGTTACATATTGGTGGCGAACCAATTAAGGTGACTATTTTACTAATGCAAAATTATCCGTGTTCATAAAAATACCAAAATAAGCCTAAAGTATAATCTCACCCGTATTGTATTTATGTATAAACACATATGTGTGTCGAAGTTATCTCCTCCTCCTCCTAAGTGCCTTCTATGTTGAGGTTGGCTATCAATATGGCAAATTTCTCTCTATTCTGGGCTTGATGAATTAATTCATTTCCTTCTGTGTGGGTCCAATCTCTGATGTTTCGTAGCCAAGATTTTTCTTTCGTAGTATGCCCCTTTTACCTTCAATATTGCCTTCTAATATTCCCTGGAGCTGCTCAAATTCCCTATAGCGCATTATGTTTCCTAGATATGACGTCTTTCTAATTTTGATAGTATTGACCAGATGAGGGCGTGTGTTCATTATTCTCAGTACTTCTTCATTCGTAGTTCTGCTGGTACAGCTTATTCTTAACATTCGGCGGTGCATCAACATTTCAAATGTTTTTTAATTTGTTGACGTCATACTGTTTTAATGCCCAGGTCTCACAGTTAGTGTTCTCAATCTTATTGAGACTGATAAAATAGCTTGGGGTTACACAGCATTTTACGCATATTCATGAAACCAGATCT